GGCAGCAGCTTCCCCAGTACCCCAGCACTCCACTCATTGCAGACCTGAGTTTTATCTGACACTATATTGAACTGTGCGGTTTCACAATAGCACCTCTAAATGCTTTCCCATGGAGTACAGTCAAGATGGTATTGACATCTTAGGATTTTACGGTGGGTCACAGAGGTTATAGGTTTCTCTCTTGGCAGTTTGGTAGACTCTGTCTCCTGGCAAACCCCTCTGCTGGAAAAGCCTAGGAATTAGAGATGGTGAGTAAGAAACATAACAAATGAACATCTGAAGTCCCCAGCAGCTGAGAATAGTAAGAGTTGAGATTCATCTCTGATCTGGCCCTCGCCTACAGGTCTGCTGGGGTGGCAGTGGACACGCCAAGGGCCTCACAAGTTCAGACCAATGAGAGGCCACACCGGTGGACACTTTGGGCCAAAAGACACCATTCCTCACTTAGCTAAGGCATTTGTCTCTTCCAGCTGGTGTCTAGAGGGTGAGAGGCTTTGAGAAGCCTCCTCAGAGACTAACCTACCCTGCCCTCTCTGTAGGGCTGTCACTTGGATGTGTGCTACCTTTGCCATTGGAAATATCTTGTGCTCCCTCCAGTACTAGACCAGAGACGGGCATCTGTGCACCTTCCTGGGACCCAGAGTTCAGACCAGTATCAGTTCCCAGTCAGAACGACAGACCATGGTGAAGGAACCATCCTGAGAGAGGTTCAGCCCCAGGGACTTCATGTCTTTGGATGATTAGCGAATGTAATAAAAGAGAAAATTGAAAACATGAGCAAAGAATAAGATACTGTCAAAAAAAATCATGTACATTTTTTAAAACTATAAAATGAAACATATGGAAATGAAAATTGTCACTGAAATTAAAATTCAATAGGCAGATTATATAGCTTTATAACATAAGAAAGAACTAGTGAATTGGGTGTTATAGGTAAAGAAATTGCCTGGATTTAGAGAGACAAGAAACGCAAAAAACAATGAGTTGCATGTGGGCAGTAGCAGGGAGCTCAGGTGCAATGGTAGCACTTAACCAAGGAGAGAAGTGGAGGCACTGGTGCTCAGAGAAGACAAAGAACTCCTCTTGTCTGTGACAACAGGAGTCCTCAGTAGAGGGAGTGTAGTGCATGGGGAAATACTTACACATGTAAGTATTTTGGACAGCACAGAAAAATTGTTAAAAATAGCTGAATAGAGGAGACATTGCCTACAGATAGCAAGCCAGCCTCCCAATAATATTGTGGAGGCCGGCACCACCCCACAAAACTGGACACTCCTGACTGACTGGGTCTAATGGGGAAACCTTCCCCTAGATGCTCATTCTGTGTCCTTGCTGCCACAATGGACAGTAACTCAGGTCTTTTCTCCAGTGGATGCATCTGGATTCTGTTGGGGAGTGAGACTCAAGATGTGCACTCTGGATACTAACCTCCTGCACACAAAGGTCCCTCAGTAACATCTGCCCTTGACAACCCCCAGACTCCTGGGAAAAAGGCTCTGTTCTAGTCAGACAGTTGCAGTAAAGAGCACAGAAGCAGCGTGTTCCAGAAGGGGTGAGATGAGGAGAAAAGACTTGAGTAGGAAACCGGTGATGACCTCAGGATGGTGGGGATTCTTGCATTTACCAGCTGGGTGACCACATACCAAGAAGTTCTAATAAAATGTTCACCAATTCACAGAGACCATAGGTGAACATACATAAGCATGTCAGCACTGTAGAGATACAAGGGACTGTCACGTCACCATGTTTTCCCAAAGATGCTATAGGGGGACTGGCCAGACTCATGTGAAACCATCTGTCATTCATCAGGCTAAGAGGAATACCACAACTAACATTGGAATACCAGGAACACAGTAAGAATGAGGAAGGCAGCAGACAGGCTTGAGGGAACAGGAAGCAAGAATCCAATAAGAAGACAGACCTGCTCTGGCTGTTGGGCTCTTAGGCCCAGCTATTTCCCACCTGTGCTTTTCATCACTCCGCCTTCCCTGGAACTCTGCCTCTGGCTGTCACCAGCCCTCAGAGTTCTTAAAAGCATGTGGAAGCTGCAGACCACAGTCCCCACTCTGCAACCCTACCCCCTCACCCCCAACTCAAAGCCTGGGGGACATTTCGTAAACCAGCTTGTTAGAGCCACACCCTTGACCAGCACTTGCTGCTTAGCTGTCACATGGAACTACCAGTTTTCCACTCTGCAACTTGTCATGTGCCATTTGGAATTCATGTAAGTTCTACTTTGTTTTCTGTTTGTAATATCAAACAGAATGCCAGAAGAGGTTGCCAGTTACCCCAAGTGTTCTTCCATTCGCCCTGTATCCAGCATTGCGCTGGCCAGTGAGGGCATGTTACCCACTTGGAATAAGAGGCAGATTTTGTGGCCTCCCACCTCTAAGGGGTTGGTCTCACCTGGACTGGCCTCTAGGGTGGCCCTTGCCAACAGGACACAGTGGGCCAAGGGGTCTGTAAGGAGGGCAGTGGGAGTACTCCTGTAGCATGCAACAACACCCTGTGTGCACGTTGACCCTCAGCTCCATGGCCTCATCGAGGCTTCATTTAGGCTGGGTCAGCATGGAGAGGCTCCCTCTGCAGGCAGGGCTTCCACAGGCAATCCCTCCATCCTGAAACTCACAGCCTGGCCAGACTCAGACTTCTCTAGATACTGGTAGCTTTGGGAGCTTGCAGAAGATACTTCACCACTGAGAAATTGGCATCTTAGATCTGATTACATTTTTGGGTTTTTCCCTGTGTTGGGAAACATAAGTATACTATTAAGCCCAGAGGAGTCGGTGTGAGAAGGCTGCTCTCTTTCCACATGTGGGGAAAGTGTCTGCACTCTTCCTTCAGCATCATTGAAAGTTACTTACAGCTCAGGGCCATGGGGGAGAGGGAAGACATGATCCTGTCTTTGCTGAACCTCGGTGACAGCAGAATAGAGAGAGGGATGGTGTTAGGGTGTGGTGCTGGAGAGGAGCTTGTGAGCACCTCACACACAGTGCTGTCTCCACACGCCACCTCTGACCTTTGTCCCTTTCTGAGACTATAGGCCAGGTGCCATTTGGTCTCACTCTGCAGCTGGGGACAAATTCTGTTGCTACAGAAAGCCCTCTGGATAAAAAGCCACAAGTTTTCAGCCACCACTTCCAGGAAATGTAGGGTGAGCTTCTGAAGGTCCCTCTCCCACCTCCTTGACCCCTAAAGAGTCCACTGCCTGCCTTGGTGCTTGAAGACCATGGCTTTGGTACATTCTGCTTGATTCCTATGACATCTTAAAGTCATTGTCACATCTACCCTGAAGACATCCCACTCAGACCCTCCCCTTAACTTACCCTGGGCCCACCAAGCAGCCCCAGTGTCTGCACATAGCAGAGAAGCAGTGCTTTTACCAAATGTCACCCACAACCAGGAGTTCTCTACACTGCTTTTCTCAGGTTTTGCTTTCATCCCAGTGAGCTTCCTGCCTTCATGACTCTTAGATGAGGGGGAAGCAGTGGCCCTCTTGAACTGTGTGTGCTCAGTTGGGGCATGGTAGACAAGAGACCCTAACAGGCTGGAAGCTAAATGTTTGAGACCAAGCAGTGCTTCCTGGGAGATTGGGCAGAGTGTTGGCACATGCATGTGCCTTCTGCATTCCTGCAAGGGGACTACAGTGGACACTGAGAACCCTGTGCTCCTGGAAATAACTCCTCAGTGGTGGAGCATCACCACCCTGTCCATGGAGGGGTGCTGGTTGGTTTGCCCCTGTGGAGAACTGCCAAGGAGGTGGGTGCAGCCTTACCACTGGTCTTTTTTCCATCATTATTTGTACATTGGCAATGGGAATCTCCATTATCTTTGTTACTGGAATATGTCACATAGGCAGGCAGCAAATGGCCAAATGGGAAAACATAGAGAAGGCAAGCAGAGTGTGGGGTGTGTGCAGAGATTGAAGCACTCAGCAGTTGTAAAAGCATTTAAACCAAATGCCCAATTTGGATGTTATGATATCCAGTCACTTTGAAAGGGGAGTGGAGCTTCTTGGAACTTAGTGGAGTTATTGTATCAGAACTAGTTTGTCATCCTGTGCAGAGGCTTCCTCGAAGGCCCTTGCTGCTGGAATGTACCATGAGGCCCGCTGCTTGGAAAGAAGGTTGTAGGTAGAATGGGGGGCACATAAGCCAGAATTCATCAAAGAGCATTTTATCCTGGAATTTACTTCCTTTCTCAGACTTGTGCTTGTGGATCAGTTAAAGATTGTTGCTGGGGGCAGTGACCCGTGGGCCTCAGTGTTCACCTCGGTGCATGAATCGGCAGTCTCATCAAGTCAGTTTAGTTTTTAAAAAGACAATTTAAAGTAGTTTTAGAAACAGTTTATAGAACATTCTCCTTAAGGAAATTAAAAAATGATGGACATGTTTGTGAGGCCTAAGGTGGTGAATTGTAAAAGGGATATTGTTCTGGGAGGGAGTGGACAGGGTGGACATGTGATCTGTTTAGTCCTTGTTTCACAGTTGTCACCACCTCTCTAAGGCCAAGCCCCGGCCAGGGGGCCAACTGAGTGACCTCGAGAGGGGCTCCTTGGATATGCTGAGTAGGAATCAAGGGAAACACCCCTCAGAGGAGTTTCAGAGACCAGCGTCTCTCTTTCTGCCTGCAGCTTTGCACCCCGTGACCTAGAGCACCATGCAGTTTCTTGGCTCTAAACAAGGTCTCTACCCCAAGAGCATGGGCTGTGGGGGAGGGGGTGGGTTCTCAGGCTCTTGATAGACCCCAAATTTCCCCTCAGTAGGAGTGCAAGGTGAAGGAAGAAGGCAAGCTTTTAGCTCCTGGAATTGGGGGTATCTTTTCTCTCCCTCAACCCCTGCCTCTTTTAAAAGAAACATCATGTGCAATCTGTTCAAGGTTGACAGGGTATTTTATAATGGGTGAGACAGGTGGAGGATTTGCTTGTTATGAGGAGGCTGAGACGGGATGGCCGCGCTGTTCCATCGTGTCTTGTTAGTGCTCTGTGTTGATGCCTTTAGATGCCTCCAGCTCAGTCCATGTCGTGGTTCAAGGCGGGTTCGCTCCTCGAAGCGCCATGGCATGAAATGGAGGTGCCTAGAAGCAAGAAGAAAGGTACAGTACTGCAAGTCGGCCTTGATCTGTTTATGTATTTCTAAACTATGTTTGCCATTTTATGTCTGTACTGTTTGGAGGCGGGACGGGAAGAAAGACTTGAATTACAGAAACATGTATTTAATAGATGGAGACCTGTCCTGTGTGAGCCAGGACATTGGTGATCAGCTGTCCACCGCCTTGCACATAATGGGTAGTTTGGGGAGGCACCTGGAGCACAGTAAATGGTTGGTGGGGGCCACAGCTTAGTAGGCTTCATTGGCTAATAACAAGGTGTTGGAATTGTGTCTCACGTTTACTGCTGGAAGAGGTGATGATGGGCAGCAGGAGTGCTGCCAGCTCTGTTCTTTCCCTTCTGTGAGGTGGGAGGCAGGGGCTCTGAAATGCCAGCTAAGACTCTGGGTTCTGAGGACTCCATGGCATGAAATCTCCCCACTCTCCTCCACCACCTCACAGAGAAGCAGGGTCCTGAGCGGAAGAGGATTAAGAAGGAGCCTGTCACCCGGAAGGCCGGGCTGCTGTTTGGCATGGGGCTCTCTGGAATCCGAGCCGGCTATCCCCTCTCTGAGCGCCAGCAGGTGGCTCTCCTCATGCAGATGACAGCTGAAGAGTCTGCAAACAGCCCAGGTGAGCCCCCAGGTGGTAGGTGGTGGGTGTTTTCTGGGACTGGAGAATCTCTCTACATGGAGGTGGGTACCTATGCAAAGGCATCTGCTTTCTCAAAGACAACCCAGACCTTGGAGGTTTCCACAAAGCAGGGACACACCCAGGCCCAGCCGCACTGGCTCTACCCCTAGTAATGCTCTGCCTGTCATTTCCTTGGTCTGCAGTAGATACAACACCAAAGCATCCCTCCCAGTCGACAGTGTGTCAGAAGGGGACGCCTAACTCTGCCTCAAAAACCAAAGATAAAGTGAATAAGAGAAATGAGCGGGGAGAGACCCGCCTGCATCGAGCTGCCATCCGAGGAGATGCCCGACGCATCAAGGAGCTCATCAGTGAGGGGGCGGATGTCAACGTTAAGGACTTTGCAGGTGAGCGCTCACAGCACCCGGGAGATGGCAGGGCAGGGGGACCCTACAGAAAGTTCACAGGAGGATGTGAGGCTTGTCTCCCCAGAGGTGTGGAGCTCTCTGGCCAAGTGTCATCATCCTGGCAGTAGTAGCCTTGCATCTGGGATCAGCATGACAGGAGCAAGAGCCAGTCCCTGGGCCCATGTGGTTCTGTGGGTTTGTTCTAGGTGCATGGGGCAGACTCCACTCTTAACACTAGTGTAATTTTCCATTTCTGAGGTGGAGGAATTAGTGTTTCTTGGAAAGTATTTCAAAATAATTTTGTTTTTCATTATTTTTAAGAGAATTCGGGAATTTTTAGCTATTTACTCTGCTGTATTATATAAACCCCAATTCTGTACTAGAGGATTCATTCTTCCTGGCTCCTTGGGGTAGGAGAGTGTCTCTGGCAAATTTAGGAAGAAGTTGTGTTGCCCAGGGATACCTTCCCATATCCCATAGAAGAAATGTCACCCCAAGACTGTCCTTTTAATATAAAACAAATGGATGTGCTTCCCTGACGTGACACACGCTGAGGTAGAGCCCTGTGATTATAGTTCACTTATTCTTTTTTGCATAAAATACTTCCATTATGCCATGGTGCATCGTCAGCAGATTTGAGCTGGTTGTGGAAGGTGAAGATTAGCAAAGCAGTCTTCATGCAGAAAACTTGATTTTTCCTATTGCCCTAGTTGATAAGTTATCTGACCAAAATCTAATTTAACACCTTTTTTTTAAAAAAGTAGTTTTCCTAAATCAAGATTTTTTTCAAGAATATCCATAACAATTTTATTCTTAACAGCAAGAACCTGAAAACAAAAGTGTCCATCAATAAATTCATGTATAAATAATTTGTGGTGTATGCATATAATATTCCAATAAAAGTCCTAATATACCCACATAAAAAGAAAAGAGCTTTTGTTATTTTAGTCGGATCATTGAAGTACTTCCTTAATTTTCAGATTTGATTTCTTCTCTACTATAACACATGACATTTTTCTGTAATACTTAACTTTATTTCTAGATCCCACTGCTCTGTTGTCTCTTGTTAGCACATTTTCTAGTACATTATTACAACCTGCCTTCATTCAAAATTTCTTTGCTGCTGCTGTTGTAGTACTAGATCAAGATTTTCTTCACAGCACCAGAGTTTGTGTCCAAGGGAGCAGGCCCTGTTTGCACAATGATGTGTGTGGCTACTCTGCCTGGTGGCCAGTTGAGGCTCTGGGCTACTGCCAGGGAATTCTCCCTGTGTGGCTTCATCCATATTCCAAAATGGGAGTTTTTTCCTCCCTATGTGTTGATGGATGAGCCAGGCTGAGGCTGCCTGTCATGATGCTCTGTTCACCAGTGCTCCACCCTTTTGCTCAGGATTAATTCTTCCGGTGGTTAATCTTGTAGGGTTAACAAGCCAGATCTCCCTGAGCAAACAAGCACCATGGTAAATCACATTCAGGCCTTCCCTAGACCTCTAGCCTTTCAGTTCAGAACAACACCCTCCAGGACTTTGTCCTGTCATCAGCATCCTTGGAGTGTTGCCTTGAGACAGGAGTGACATTCCTGAAGATTAAATAACATATGTCCTAAGTGTCTGTTTCCAGGCTGGACAGCACTGCACGAGGCATGTAACCGGGGCTACTACGACGTTGCCAAGCAGCTGCTAGCTGCGGGTGCAGAGGTGAACACCAAGGGCCTGGACGATGACACACCCCTACATGATGCTGCCAACAATGGGCACTACAAGGTGGGTCTCCCATCTGACTTCCACATCATTCTGTAGCTCCAGTCTCTGTCCTCATTGCCCTTCATGTTTGCTGGGTGACTGAGAAGTGAGTCTTTGCCCCTCACCAGAGCTGTCCTCTCTGACCAGCCCAGCTTTCTCGTGATCAGTCAACATCTAGATGGCCTCTTGCACTTCTGACAGCCAGGACCGTCTGCAGTGTATGTGAAAGGGCCCTCCTTTAGCCATGCAGGTGTAGTTGGATTTTAGTAGGTGAATGATCGATCGTACCCATGGGAAGCGGGGCCTTGGTGACTGCTACTGGACCCTACCCTTGTTCTTATGGTCCTGGTAGACCAGGAAGACCTTGACCAACGTGATGCTGAGAGCTGTGGCCAGTCCAACAGCAGTAAGTACCCTAGTGCATTGTTTCCCCTGAGAGGACTCGGCCTCCTTGGGGAAATGACTGCCTCCAGGTCTGAAGCAGGAGGTGTGCATTATATGCCTGGTGCATCTTGGGCTGCCAGAAAGCAGGGCAGTCACAATGATGAGGCATTCTTGCTACAGTCATTACCAGAGCCATCTTGAAGAGGCCCCTGACCAAAGAAGGCACAGTTGAGTATGGTAAGCATGTCATCATAATAGACCAGAACATACCATGGCTGTTTAAATTCATAATGCTCCTCATGGCAGCTCTGCCTGGTGACTTTTAGCAGATACCAGGGAACCAGTAAGCATCAAGAGTATGATGAGCATAATTTGACAAGTCACTGGGACACATTGGGAGGGTGTTCTGAATTAAAAGATTTCTGAGACAACTGGAGAAATCTAAATGCTGATTATATATTTGATGTTAGGAATTCTGGTTAACTTTTTAGGTAAGATAATGACATTGTATTTTCTTGTTTTTTAAGGACCCTTTTAAAGAAATAATACTGAAAAAAATAATGAAATGTCTGTGATTTGCTAAAAATACCTGGGGGAGTGGGCAGGTGTAGGTGACATGAGTCTGGCTGTGAGCTGGTAGGTGATAAAGTAGGGAAGAAGGGGGTCATCATTTGAATCTCTATACTTTTGTAATTGTCATTTTAAAACTTTCTATTATGGAAAATACCAAAGACTGTGGAAAACATGGTGAGGGAGGCAGAATAATGGCCCCTCAAAAATAGGTCCGTCCTGATCCTGGAACCTGTGACTTGTGACCTCACATGGAAAGGAGACTGCAGGTAAGAGAAAGTGAAGAAACGTGAGATGGAAGATGATCCTGGATTATCTGGGCCAACTCAGTGGCCTTCAAAGGGTCCCGACAACAGAGACCCTTCACAGCTGGGTCAGAATGTGCAAGCAGAGGCAGAAGGGAGGACTTGAGGGAGACCTGACCTGCGCTGGCCTTAGAGGCAGGGGCCACAGCCAAGGAATACAGTGGCCTCCAGCAGCTGGGATGGCCCTCAGCTGGCAGACAGCAAGGACATGGAACCAGAGTCTGTCCCCCTACCCCCTGCCACTGCAAGGACCCTTACATGCATGGAAAGGGAGGAGCCAATACCACATATCAGCAGGGTCAGTGGGGCTGATTGTGAACTTCTGCTCTGCAGGATATTGTAAGATGAAAGTGGTGGTGATTAGTTAGAGCAGCAATAGGAGGTTGTCTAATGAAGCAATAGAAACTGTAACTACTGAGTGAAAATAGAGTATATGAGTAACAAGAGTTTCTATCAGTTGTTTTTAAAGATTTTTACCCTATACTCTCTGGACAAAAGTTGAGACTGAATTTAATGTTTGGGCTGCTTGAGTCCAGTGAATGAGCAGTCCTGGGCAAAGAAGCAGAGGTTGCTGATTATAAACAGTTGAGCAGAGCTGTTGAAATGTCACTTTGAGTGTTTCTGTCATTCATGTGACCATCCACACCCATGTAAAATAAACAATTAAGAGATCATCTTATTTCCTGAAATAAATGAAAACATAAACCTGTTTGAAGCTTGGTCTTTGTTTCTTCTATTATGTAGAATCCTCCTCCAATAAAAATCTGTACCCTAAACTGCCAGAACCCTTTCCATGACCACTGATCCCTGCTGAATGGTGAGCTCATTATTGGCAGAAGGGTAGAGCCTATGTGAGATGATTCTGGGAAAGTGGTCAACTCTTCATGAGGGAGGAGGTCTTCTGTGGGAGTTGAGACTATTCTACCTGTAAGAGAGCATGGAAGAGGTGCCAAGACTCCGTCAGGGTTCTTGCTGTGCAAGAGGCACGGTCTAGAAACCTTACCAGAAAGGATTGTACACACAAGTTCTGGCCCTCAGCCTGGGGGCCATTCTCTGTGTGGTTAAGCTCAAGGTTCTCTGAACAAAGTATAGTTTTACACAGGCACTATAGTACAGTCAGCATTTCTCAGACCACACCCTCACACATCTGCTACTGTCTTACAGGTGGTGAAGCTGCTGCTGCGCTATGGAGGGAATCCTCAGCAGAGCAACAGAAAGGGCGAGACACCACTGAAGGTGGCCAACTCCCCGACTATGGTGAACCTCCTGTTGGGCAAGGGCACCTACACGTCCAGTGAGGAGAGCTCAACTGGTCAGTGGCTGGGCACCAGGCCATGTGCAGGGTGTGGAGGGGAGCAGGGTGTGTGACACTATAGGGTACAGGCCTCGCCATACTACTGTGATGTCAGAGGCAGCGTTGGCTTTCATCTGCATATCAACACACTGTGTCTCAGCCTCCTAGACATCTGGCACATACAGGGCCTTCTGGACACTGAGACCTGGTGTTTTAATACTAAAAAGCCTGAAGGCTTATCCTAATATGCCACCCTGTCTTTGCACAAATTTCTCTTTGGTTTCCTTCAGCCTGTGGTTGGCCTCAGAGTTCACTCAAATGAAGTGCTTCGCTGGGGGGCTCCCATCTCATCCTAGAGGTGACCAGGTGCTTGGCGAGGTCTTTCTCCAGGTCACCTCTGCAGACAGCTTTCCCCCATCCATGTCTGCAGGTATTTTGAACCTGCCTCTGATATGTTTTTCCTTGTTTCCAACAGAGAGCTCAGAGGAGGAAGACGCCCCGTCATTCGCACCTTCTAGTTCAGTTGATGGAAATAACACAGACTCTGAGTTTGAAAAAGGCCTAAAGCATAAGGCTAAGAATCCAGAGCCACAGAAAACTGTGACCCCTGTCAAGGACGAGTATGAATTTGACGAGGATGACGAGCAGGACAGAGTCCCTCCAGTGGATGACAAACACTTATTGAAAAAGGAGTACAGAAAAGAGACTAAATCAAATAGTTTTATTTCTATACCCAAAATGGAAGTGAAAAGTTACACTAAAAATAACACGATTGCACCAAAGAAAGCGGCTCATCGCATTTTGTCAGACACCTCAGATGAGGAGGACATTAGTGTCACTGTGGGGACAGGAGAGAAGCTGAGACTCTCAGCACATGCGATATTGCCCAGTAATAAAACACGAGAGCCTTCTAATTCCAAGCAGCAGAAGGAAAAAAATAAAGTGAAAAAGAAGCGAAAGAAAGAAACAAAGGGCAAAGAAGTGCGATTTGGGAAAAGGAGTGACAAGTTCTGTTCCTCTGAGTCAGAAAGCGAGTCCTCAGAGAGTGGAGAGGACGATGGGGACTCAGTGGGGAGCTCTGGCTGCCTCAAGGAGTCCCCACTGGTGCTGAAGGACCCCTCCCTGTTCAGCTCCCTGTCTGCCTCCTCCACCTCATCTCATGGGAGCTCTGCCACCCAGAAGCATAACCCCAGCCACACAGACCAGCATGCCAAGCACTGGCGGACAGACAATTGGAAAACCATTTCTTCTCCCGCCTGGTCAGAGGTCAGCTCCTTATCAGACTCCACAAGAACAAGACTGACCAGTGAGTCTGACTGCTCCTCCGAGGGCTCCAGTGTGGAGTCACTGAAACCAGTAAGGAAGAGGCAGGAGCATAGGAAGCGGGGCAGCCTGCAGAGCGCTCTGTCAGAAAAGAAGAGCTCCTTCCACCCCAGTGTGGATGGTGCCATTCCCAAGCTAGACAAGGAGGGGAAAGTGGTCAAGAAACATAAAACAAAACATAAACACAAAAACAAGGAGAAAGGGCTGTGTTCAGTCAGTCAAGAACTCAAATTGAAAAGTTTCACTTACGAATATGAGGACTCCAAGCAAAGGTCAGATAAAGCTATACTCTTAGACAATGACATATCCACTGAAAACAAGTTAAAAGTATTAAAGCATGATAGAGACCACTTTAAGAAAGAGGAGAAACTTAGCAAAATGAAGTCGGAAGAAAAAGAATGGCTCTTTAAAGATGACATAATAAAGGTCTCCAAGGATGAAAAGTCACTCAAGAGAATCAAAGACACAAACAAAGACATAAGCCGGTCTTTCAGAGAAGAGAAGGACCGTTCAAATAAAGCAGAAAAGGAGAAATTAGTGAAAGAAAAGTCTCCAAAAGAGGAAAAACTGAGACTATACAAAGAAGAAAGAAAGAAAAAATCCAAGGACAGGCCCTCAAAATTAGAGAAAAAGAATGATTTTAAAGAAGACAAAATTTCAAAAGAGAAGGAAAAGACTTTCAAAGATGATAAAGAAAAACCCAAAAAAGAAAAAATTTACAGGGAAGATTCTGCTTTTGATGAATACTGTAACAAAAGTCAGTTTCTGGAGAATGAAGACACCAAATTTAGCCTTTCTGATGATCAGCAAGATCGATGGTTTTCTGACTTGTCTGATTCATCCTTTGATTTCAAAGGGGAGGATAGTTGGGATTCTCCAGTGACAGACTATAGGGACATTAAAAATGATTCTGTGGCTAGACTGATTTTGGAAACGGTGAAAGAGGACAGTAAAGAAAAGAAGCGGGAAAACAAAAGCCGGGAGAAACGAGACTACAGTGAAAAACGAAGTGAGAAAGATGCTTTCTTTAGAAAGAAAGAAAGGGACTATCTGGATAAAAACTCTGAGAAGAGAAAAGACCAAATTGAAAAGCATAAAAATATACCCAGCTATCTTTCAGAAAAGGACAAAAAGAGGAGAGAGTCCGCTGAAGGTGGACGAGACAGAAAGGACAGGGATCTGAGTGACATCTGCAGGGACAGGAAGGACACTCTGGAGAGTGCCAAGGAGCGGAAAGATGGCAGAGTGAAGGCCGAGGAGGCATACAGGGAGGACCTGAAGGAGTATGGCTGCGAAAGCGTATTCAAGGACAGGTCTGACTGTGACTTTGGGAAGAGTCTGGAGCCTTGGGAAAGGCATCATCCAGTGAGAGAGAAGGAGAAGAAAGATGGCCTTGAGAAGGAGAAGAAGGAAAAAATAAAACTAGAAAAATACAAAGATAAGTCCAGTGACAAAGATAAAAATGAAAAATCTATCCTTGAAAAATGTCAGAAGGACAAAGAATTTGATAAATGTTTTAAAGAGAAAAAAGATACTAAAGAAAAACATAAAGATATACATAGCAAAGAAAAGGAGAGAAAAACATCTCTTGACCAAATTAAAGAAAAAAAGGAGAAGAGTTTCCCTGGAATTATCTCAGAAGACTTCTCTGAAAAAAAAGATGAAAAAAGGAGTAAAGAGAAAAGCTGGTATATTGCAGATATATTCACAGATGAAAGTGAAGATGAAAAAGATTATACAGCAAGCGGATTCAAAATTGGAGAGGCCAGTGAAGTGCAGAGGGCAGACAGCCTCCAGGAAAAAGATGACGGGAGGGAGCCATACCCCTCAGACAGACACCGGAAGCACTCTGCTGACAGGCAGCACTTGGAGAAGCAGAAAGAGAAAGAACTCAAAGAAAAGAAAAAGGAAAAAGGAGCCATGGAAGTGGGGAAAGACAAAAAAGAAAAGGTCTTTGAAAAGCACAAAGAGAAGAAGGATAAAGAATCTACAGAAAAATGTAAGGACAGGAAAGACCGAACTTCAGTTGATTCTACTCAGGAAAAGAAAAACAAACAGAAGCCCCCCGAGAAGGTGGAAAAGAAGCCCTCTGCCGAAGACAAGGCCAAGAGCAGGCATAGGGAGAGACCAGACAAGGAGCACTGCAGAGAGAGGAAGATGTCAAAAAGTGCCGAGGTGGAGAAGAGCCTTCTGGAAAAGTTGGAGGAAGAAGCTCTGCATGAGTACAGGGAAGACTCCAACGACAAGATCAGTGAGGTGTCCTCTGACAGCTTCACGGACCGAGGGCAGGACCCAGGACTGAGTTCCCTCCTAGAGGTGTCTTTCACAGAGCCTCCAGAGGAGAGGATAAAGGAGAACTGCCCACAGGAGAAGCTGAAGGAGAAAGAAAGGCACAGGCACTCTTCATCCTCATCCAAGAAAAGCCATGATCGAGAGCGAGTCAAGAAAGAAAAGTCCGATAAAAAAGAAAAGAGTGATGACTACAAGGACATTGGCAGCAGGAAGGACTCTAGCCAGTATGAAAAGGATTTCTTGGATGCTGATGCTTATGGTATGTCTTACAGTACAAAAACTGACATAGAAGATGAATTAGATAAAACCACTGAATTGTTTTCAACTGAAAAGAAGGATAAAAATGATTCCGAGAGGGAGCCTTCCAAGAAAATAGAAAAAGAGCTAAAGCCTTATGGATCTAGTGCCATCAACATCCTAAAAGAGAGAAAGAGACGAGAGAAACACCGAGAGAAGTGGAGAGATGAGAAGGAGAGACATAGGGACAAGCATGGGGACGGGCTCCTGAGACATCACAAGGATGAGCACAAGCCAGCAGCCAAAGATAAGGACAGTCCTCCAAGTTCCTTTAAAGATAAGTCCAAGGATGAAAGCCTGAAACTCACTGAGACCAAACTGAAGGAGAAATTTAAGGAAAATCTAGAGAAAGAAAAAGGTGACTCTGTAAAGATCAGCAATGGAAATGATAAGTTACCGCTGTCCAAAGACCCAGGTAAGAAAGATGTCAGGCCCAGAGAGAAACTTCTGGGAGATGGTGATCTGATGATGACCAGCTTCGAGAGAATGCTCTCCCAGAAAGACCTGGAGATTGAGGAGCGCCACAAACGGCACAAAGAAAGAATGAAACAGATGGAGAAGATGAGGCACAGGTCTGGAGACCCTAAGCTCAAGGAGAGGATGAAGCCAGGTGAGGATGTGCGGAAGAAGAGTCTGGATGTTCCTCCAAAGAAGCCGCTGGGGCTGGATCCTGTCCTTAAAGACAAAAAGCTCAAGGAGTCTGCTCCTGCCCCACCAGCCCCTGAGAATAAGCCCCACCCAGGAACAGCTGTGGACGCCAGAGACTGGTTGGCGGGACCTCATATGAAAGAGGTCTTGCCTGCTTCCCCCAGACCTGACCAGAACCGGCCCACTGGGGTGCCCACCCCTGCATCCGTGGTGTCTGGCCCCAGCTACGAGGAGGCGATGCACACACCCAGGACCCCATCCTGCAGCGCTGATGACTATTCTGACCTGTTTGACTGCACAGATACCCCGCCTGTCTCCAGCACGGCTGCCAGTGCCTGCTCCCCCTCCTTCTTTGATAGATTTTCTGTGGCAGCAAGCGGGATTTCAGAGACCCCAAGCCAGACTCCTACCAGGCCTCTGTGCACAAACCTTTATCGTTCAGTCTCTGTTGATATCAGGAGGACTCCTGAAGAAGAATTCAGCATTGGGGACAAGCTGTTCAGACAGCAGAGTGTCCCTACTGCATCCAGTTATGACTCACCAGGGCAGCACTTGGAGGACAAGGCCCCTGTGCCCCCAGGTCCTCCAGAAAAGTTTGCCTGCTTGTCCCCGGGGTATTACTCCCCAGACTATGGCATCTCCTCCCCTAAGGTGGACACTCTGCACTGCCCGCCCACAGCTGTGGTCACCACCACCCCTTCCCCAGAGGGTGCCTTCTCTGGTTTACAAGCAAAGTCCCCCACCTCACACAGAGATGAGCTGTTGGCCCCGTCCATGGAGGGGGCCCTTCCCCCTGACTTGGGCATTCCCCTGGATGCCACAGAGGACCAGCAGGCCACCGCTGCCATCATCCCCCCAGAGCCCAGCTACTTGGAGTCCCTGGATGAGGGCCCCTTCAGCACGGTAATCACAGAGGAGCCAGTTGAGTGGGCTCATCCCACTGCCTCGGAGCAGGGGCTCTCTCCCAGCCTAATTAGGAGTGGCCCTGAAAACCCTGTCAGCTGGCCAGTGGGGTCAGACCTTATGCTTAAGTCTCCACAGAGATTCCCAGAGTCCCCAAAACATTTCTGCCCTGCTGAGTCCCTTCACCCTGCTGCCCCTGGACCCTTTGGCACCACAGAGCCCCCTTATCCAGTCTCCTCTGTCTCATACCCTCTGTCGGTCCCTGAGCCAGGACTTGAGGAAGTCAAAGATGCCTCGGTGGAAACAGTCCCAGCCACCATCTCCACTGCAGAAGAACCGGCCCCTTTCACCCCTCCCTCCAGGCTGGAATCTTTCTTCAGTAGCTGCAAGTCACTTCCTGAAGCACCTCCTGATGTGCCCCCAGAGCCTGTGTGTATGACCACTGTGGCTCAGGTGGAGGCTCTGGGGCCTCTGGAAAATACCTTCCTGGAAAATGGCCACAGTCTGTCTGCTCTTGGCCAGGTAGAGCCAGTGCCCTGGCCTGATGCTTTCCCCAACTCTGAGGACGACCTGGACCTGGGGCCTTTCTCATTGCCAGAGCTTCCTCTACAAACTAAAGATGTTTCTGATGTTGAAACAGAACCCATAGAAGAGAATCCTCTTGTTCCTCCAGAAAGTATGCCTGCAGGGGCCCCCGTGGTCCTGAATGGTGGGGATGTGGCTGCACCAGCTGCGGAAGAACAGCTCCTGCTGCCTCCTGACCAGGCAGCTACCCGCCCTGCCGAGCCTGAGCCTGAGCCCTCAGAGGGGCCAAAGCCAGACATGATTCTGGAAGCTACAGTGGAAGCAGAGGCTATATCGGAGGGGAGGGCCCCTGAGGCCTCCGACTCCAGCCTGGGGCTCACACCAACCACCCCAGAGCAGCGTCCGCCAGGTAGTGGAGATGAGGCAGAGGGCCCAGACCCCTTGGCAACATCCCACAGCACACCTGAGCCCTCTGAGGATGGCCCTGCACAGACACAGGTGATGAACGGGGCTGGCCCCCATGACAGTGCTGGGCTTGAGGGGCCTCCAGGAAGCATCCAGCCTGAAACTATAGAATCAGACCCCAGACCCACAGCTGAAGCCCCAAAGGCCCCCAAAGTGGAGGAGATCCCCCAGCGCATGACCAGGAACCGGGCTCAGATGTTGGCCAACCAGAACAAGCAGAGTTCACCTCCTTCTGAGAAGGACCCTGTTCCTGCTCCCACCCCCAGAGTGAAGGGTAGAGGCTCCGAGGAGGAGGACCCCCAGGCCCAGCACCCACGCAAACGCCGTTTCCAGCGCTCCAGCCAGCAGCTACAGCAGCAGATGAACACATCCACGCAGCAGACACGGGAGGTGATCCAGCAGACGCTGGCCGCTATCGTCGATGCCATAAAGCTGGATGATATTGAGCCCTACCACAGTGACAGATCCAACCCGTACTTTGAATACTTGCAGATCAGGAAGAAGATCGAGGAGAAGCGGAAGATACTCTGCTACATTACCCCGCAGGCACCCCAGTGCTATGCTGAGTACGTCACCTACACAGGCTCCTACCTCCTAGACGGCAAACCGCTCAGCAAGCTGCACATCCCTGTGGTGAGTGCCAAGTTGGGACCCCAGCCTGTGAGGGTGCCAGTCAACCAGGGTCAGAACCCTGTTTGCTGTGGGTCTGATTGCAAATGCCAAACCATTGGGATGCGAGAGCTTGGGGTGGGTATGGTGCCATTGTGGGACCACCCTCCAACATGGAGGTTCATGTTGACAGCCCCATTTACTTTCCTCTGTCATTCATCATTTTTCCTGTGTCAGCTCCCCGTCCAGTGCCTGACCAGCTTACTGAGTGCCTGTGCCCTCTTGACTGTCATCAGTTCCTTCTCGGCTGTGGCCATGCCCTGCAGGCCTCCATCTGCTGCTCAGTCCCTGGTTTCCCCATGTCCTCCTCACCTGGGGCTGGCTGACCAAAGCCCCCGCCTCCACGTTGGGCACACCTGCACAGCAGTCCCCTCTCATGTAACTCAATGTTTTCTCTCAAGTCCCCCTTTTTTTGCACAAAGAAGTTCTTAGTTTATTAATCCTCTCATGAAAAATCTGCACAGTCACTGAATCTTGACTCATTTTTACCAGCATTGACCTTCATAGTTCGTGACTTTCCTCATTATGTTCTTGCATTCCTTTCTGTTGTCTTGAGGTCTTCTCATACAGTCCATGTCTTCCCAGTCTATGTTTGGGTTCATTTTTCTTTGCATAATCCAAGGAATTATAAGTCATGCCACAGCCAACAGTTGTCTTACCACCACCAAAATGGGTTCTGAACGCAGATACAAAGATGGCATGTGGTGTGGCCTTGTATATTTTGGCTAATTTTTCCTGAATTTGTCTTAGGTACTATTTCCTTCCCAGGGTAAAGAATGTCAACGTCCATTTGTTTCTGCTGAAGTAATCTGTTGTTGATGAACTTCCCCGTCTGGATAGTTAACTGGCATTCATGATGGCAGGGGATCTTCAAGCAGCCAGGGAGAAAAAGCTCCTCTCAACTCATTTTAACAGCCAAGGCTTCAGTGGGGACGTACTGTCTGCCTCCAACCTCAGCCCCTCACCCTTGAACCCTGCTCTACTCCTCTTGTCCTGGTTTCCAGTGGCTCCCTGTTACTGACCTGAGGCCAGGCCTCAGCGCTCATCACATCGGAGCCCTGAGTGACCCTAGCACCTGTGCCACTTCGTCAAAGCACACCTTAGGCTTCCAGGCTTCTCTATCCAGCAGGCCTATCCTCAGCTAGCACCGCACCTGCCTCTCAGCATTGTTCCCAGGGCCTCCATCTCCTGTTATCCCTCCTTCCCCTTTCCCTTGTGGTTCATTATCCACCTCAACCTGATGACCCTGTCTGTGCAGATAAGACACACCTAATCCACACTGTGCACACCACCTTCCACCATCAGCCTCATGCCCGTGTCTGGGCAGTCAGCAAATCTAACTGTATGGGGCTCTGCAGGCTAGCCCTCCCACATCACTGCTTGTCCTACTGAACCCTCTCGCCCAGGCTGGCCCTGTTTCCCCTTGACCATTGGGGTCTGTTCTCAGCACAGCAGGCAAAGAGATCCTTTTACAGTGGAGCCAGACCTCTGCCCACCTCTGTCCTCCTCCTTAGCCCCCAAGGACCCCAGCCCATTGTGCTCCCCAGGGGTCACCTGTTCACAGTGTGCAGTGGACTTGCTTTATTTCTTTAACCATTCCAATCCCTTGAAGAAAAGCTAGAACTTCTGTTTGATTTGTCTATTAAGCCCAGAATGGGTCTCATTCACGGCTGTTGAATGAATGCTGATCAGGATGAGCCAATTCCCCGGATCCTGGGAAAGGCCTGGGCATGCAGCCCACACAGCCAGTGTTGGAGGGAACTTCTTGTCCCAAAAGAGGGTTATGTTGGATGCATGTATTCTGCTCTCAGACCTTGGTGTTCCAGAAGTCAGTGTATCTGCTGGCTCTCTATCAAGCAGAAAGCTCAGCTAATTAGGAGTGACAGCCAGTGTCTTCTGAACAAGGGGGAGTAACTGAGAGTCAGGTTCAATGGCTGAAGCATAGGGGTGCAGCCTCCAGAGCCACCACCCTTCCTGCCTAGCTCAGTGATTTGTTGCCAGGGAGCATGGCTAGCTTTGAACCCCGTGGGACATCATCAGCATCACTCTCCCTTCTGGTGCCCTAACCCCACGCTGCTCTAGGGAGGGGAGACTAAGGCAACCCTGCCTTTGTCTAGCCTGGGAAGATCCTTGTCTGGCTTCCTCTGGGTCACTAGATTCAGAAAAATCTGGCCCAAGGTTTGTTGTATGGTGAGACTTTTTGTTTTGTGATTGTTTGGATTTTTAAAATTTACTTTTAGACAGAGGGGAAGAGAGGGAGAGAAACATAAATGTGTGGTTGCCTCTCACATGCCACGGGCCCCTACTGAGGACCTGGCCCACAACCTAGGCATGTTCCTCACTGGGAATCAAACTGGCAACTCTGGTTCGCAGGCCGGCACTCAATCCACTGAGCCATACCAGACAGGGCTGCTGTTTAAATTTATCAAAATTAAAGAGTACCATGACCACCATATAAAATTCAGAAAATTAAGTAGTAGAGGTCACTTAACCCACTCATACTACCCAGGGTTCACTTGTCAGTGGTCTGTGTGTCTGTACTTCTGTTTTATCAGATTCATGTCTTTCTAGATGTTTTATTTCCTGTCACCACATAAGTGAGCACCCAGGCTGTTCAGTGAGGGCAAGCAGAAGTCAAGCATTCCTGGATTTCTCACCAGGCCAGAGGCTTGGTGCTTTCTCTGGAAGATCTCCAAGTGGCTTATACCCATGTGTGCCACTGTATTTGTGCCTCCCCACCTGGTACCACCTGTGGGGAAGCATACCAGGGCCCCTTGGGGCTGAGTCCTTTGAGGCAAAGGGGTTGGAACAGGGCCCAGTGGGCAACATGTGCCACTGAAGAGACCAGCTTAATGTTTTAACATCTTATTCTGAGCTAATTTTAGACAGACAGTGTTAAAAGCAGAGTGTATGCATGCCCTTCACGGGGCCCCAGGATGTTGCATCTCCTCCTGGGTCACCCACCCCTCATCTTCCTTGAAAGGCATGGTTTGGTGACACTTTGAAGGAATATTGATTAGGTGTTTGGTCTGACATTCAGGACTGGACTAAGGGACACATTTTTGGTGAAAATGCACTGATGTGATGTGAGGTCTTATCTTGTGCCCACTGATTTTAGTCTCCTTAATGGGAGGCTAAGTCTGTAGCATTTACTCCTGTGGTGTTGGCCCAATCCTGATTCTCTTTCCCTCTCTATGTGTTTAATAATTGGAATTCTCCTGTAGCCCAACATAAATCACTATCACTTAGTGTGCAGATCATTCCAGCCTTGGCCTTTAGGAACTCCTTTAAGTTGCTCCATCTTTCTGAGTACACTCTTACTTTATAGTCCCACTACATGTTCCAGCTGAGCCCTGACGACATTAAACCACGTGGTCCTTTCTAGTGGCAGTGGTGTTTAGAAACCACGTTCTGGGTGCAGGATGTGCTCACTGTCCTGGGTGACTTGGCCAGGGGAGGTGTGTTACTCCACATTCCTCCATCTGGTCTACATTGAAATCTTGACTGCAACCTGTGCTTGCATCTTCCTTCTTTGAGAGAGACTTGGTGCTTCTTACTTGCAATGTGTTTACTGGCCTGTTAACTCTCAGTGTACATGTCTTGTTTCACAAGCACTGGTCCACTCATGAAATGCCTACACTGGTTAGAAGATGACACTTGTGGGTGGTGGTTCTGGTCTTTTACCTCATGATGTCTTTTCCACAGTGACCCAGGTAAGTGCTCTCTTCCCCTGTGAGCCCCAGTAGGATGGTCAGGCTCTGTTGCTGTGTGTTCCACGTTGGTGCCTGTTTCCCTTTTGGTGTCAGGGTTTATTTTGGGGGGCATGAAACCTCATTATTAAAGGAAACAGCCCTGCATCCTTCTCCTCTCCCTTGCCCTCTGCCTGCTCCTCTACCATCTTTGTCATTTCTTCTGGCACAAAGAGTAGCAGTATAGGTACTTTGTACTTTGCTTTTTATACTTAACACCGTCTCTGGAACCCAGTCTCCCTCATTCTTTTTAATAGCTCTGTAGTGCTCCTTTTGGGGCCAGGATCCATGCCATAATTCCTTTGCCTGCTCTTGTGTACATGCATCTAGCTGTTTCCAGGGAATTAGCTGGTGCAGCTTGCATTTCCTGTGACCAGAGGTGTGCCTTCAGGACAGATTTGGTCAGTGTTATTGGTGGAGGTTCCCAACCCCCACTAACCCCCCTCCCTCTCACTGTTTGTGACTGCAGATTGCACCCCCTCCCTCCCTGGCGGAGCCCCTGAAGGAACTTTTCAAGCAGCAGGAGGCCGTGAGGGGGAAGCTGCGCCTGCAGCACAGCATTGAGCGGGTAAGAAGAGGTCTCAGATTGGGGTGCGGGCTCAGGATCTGTCTTGCTGTTAGGATTGGCTCATGTGGTTTCTTTCCTCCAGGAAAAATTGATCGTATCCTGTGAACAGGAGATCCTGCGGGTGCACTGCCGGGCGGCAAGGACCATCGCGAACCAGGCAGTGCCATTCAGTGCCTGCACCATGCTGCTGGACTCAGAGGTCTACAACATGCCTCTGGAAAGCCAGGTCAGTGGTGGCCAAGGCTGTGCACTTAGCTTGTCTCCCAAGAAGGGCCTTCCAAGCTTTGGCTATACACAGACAGGAGTAGGAAACACCCACATCCCTCAGATTCTATGCTGATCACGTGAGCAGACCTGATCCCTGGACAGGAGAGGCAAGGGTGATCAGTCGTACATGTAATGCTGACGTCATGAGATGCCACATGGGCTCTTCTAGACCCCAGTCCAGGGTCTTTAGGAGCTCAGGCTCTCAGATTACTGGATTGGGCTGAGCCTCAGTTTCAGTCACTTGAAAAGTTATTTAAACTTCCCTCTAAAACATACATAGATTAGGATGAGCAGCATCCAGAGCTGCTGCATAAATAACCTTCTGCAGTGAAGGCCCCATGGGAGACTGTCTTGCTGAGGACAGTGGTGGCCTTGCACCACCATGATGACAGTGTCAACAGGCCTCGAAGCCAAGGGCCAAGAGGTATGGGACCCTGGGGCTGCTTAGCACAGCAATAGTTCCCTCTCCAGCACCCCCATGAGCACATGGGCCCCAGGATCCTGTTAGAACTTACCCGATGGTCTAGTGCAGCCTGGGCAGCAGAGCCCAGAGCATTGCCCCTCTGTCCTTCACAGCGGTGCTGCCTTGTCTGCCCCAGCCGGTCATTCTAGCTCTCCTCGCCCCCAGTGTTTGATTTGTCCCGTGTGGTCACACCCTTTGCTTTTCCCACCCAACCTGTCCTGTCACTGAACATTTGGGCATGGGTGCCCCGCCCTCATGGGTCTCCCCATGTCTATCTGCTGGGGTATAATACACTGTAAAGTGGCTCCGCCTTCTGGCAACCCCCAGCTTCAGGAGTTTTCAGCTGCCTCTTGACCTGTCCATGGACATGGCTACAATTTAAAATGCAGAGTGTGCTCTCATGTCCTCCATTCTCCATCCTGAGCCTGGCTATTTCTCCTACCTCCTTCTGCCCACCGTACTCAAGCCTGGCCTTCTGAGGCTGGCTGTCCTAGGTTTTATTCCTCAATGTATTCTCTTCCCCAGCAGCCACTGTGAATTGTTTAGAAATAGCCCAGTGTGTGTCATTCTGGGCCTGCCCTCTGCCTCTTGGCCTCATGCCCCTGCTTGTGGACTTTCCCCAAACACTGATGTCCTCTTGGGCTTCTCCTGCTGTCCCCCTCACTGTTCAGGCCTTGATGCCAAGTCCCCTACTGACAGATGCCCCCACTGGTCCCCTGGCTGGCATGAACTGCTGCCGTGTTGGGACCATATGAACCCCTGGGGTTCTGAACAACATTCCCAGATTGGCTGTGGCTGTGTGGTAACACATTGGTTCCGTGGGTTTTAGTTAAATATTTTTATTAGTGCATTAAGGACTTTTCATTCACTTAATATACAGTCTTTAAGGATTTATCTTTAAAAGTGTCCCTATCTAACATACTACATGTCACAAGTTTTTCTGAAAGCAAAACATTTGTCAACAAACTAAAAACATTGGGTTGGGGATCAAGTGGTTACTTCAGGGTTAGGTGTTTGAAAGTTATATGTCTAAAAGAAAAAAGACAAGGAGTCTGCTGAGCTTTAAGGGATTTCATCTGCATTCCTTCTGAATGTCAAAGGGAGGCCCTAGGCTCAGCCACCAGCTCGTCAGTCAAACATGTGCCTCTGGCTTTCACATGTTCTAAGCATGCTGACCACCCAACATCTGGGGAGAACCAGAGAGCAGGAGTCTGAAAACTACCTGCTCCGTTGTCTCCTGGTCCCTCCCAAGGCATCCCTGTTTGTAAGCCACAGTTCATCGCAGGCAAAGATGCTGCTGTATTTGAGGACAGTGACATCAAGTTAGCACTTCTACAGAGTGAAACCAGGAAGCTGGCCCTCAGCCACCTCAAGCCTTCTAGACATCCTTTACAAAGAGAAAAAATGAACTTTCAGTGTTCACAAACAGGATGTTAAAACAGATGCCATCGCCTACATGTGGCCTCCAGAAGCAGTGCAGGTCAGAGTTTGAGGGCTTCCCCATTGTTTGCTCCATGGGCATTGTAACAGACATGCAGAAAGCCCTTGTTGGGGGTCCCAAGTCACCCCCAGGGCAGCTCCACCACAGGTAGCATCCAGACAGCCCCATGGCCTCCTAGGTATATTATGAAAGCCATGTGGGAAGGAAGGAGACCAGGGGTCCTTGAGCATGTTTATAATGTGTCGATCAGGAATGAGGCTGCAGCTTTTATTCTTCACTTAGTAAGGAGGGATTTGAAGCACTTTCAGTTTGCTTTTTCCCTTGTTTCCCATCAAACACCCGTATTTAATTTCTTCTCCAGGGTGATGAGAACAAGTCTGTGCGAGATCGATTCAACGCCCGCCAGTTCATCTCCTGGCTCCAGGATGTGGATGACAAGTACGATCGCATGAAGGTGAGTGCTCTGTACTCTCCCCAAACTGCGCCTGGGCTGGGAGCCCCCAGGAGTCTACTGGGGTTGGGGGTGCTGCTGCTGGGTCCCATGTTTGGAGGTGACTGTTTCAGACTCTTTCTGAACCCAGCTGATACTTTCAGGGTCTTCACACCCCCTGTTGTCTCCTTAGAGTATCTTCCCTCCTGTCCAGGTGTGCGGGGAGCAGCTCCTGTCACCAACTGGCAGTCAGACCTCTGTGGGACCCCACCTTGAGCCCTTCTCAAAGGTCACAGCATACATCCATCACCACTGCTCTGGACGTGCTGACCAGTGCAGCAAGCCAGAGGATAGGTGGGAGATAGAAAGCTTAGCAAGTAAGAAGCAAATCCTCATCTTCAGTTCCTAGAGTTGCACGTGGGGTCACTCACAAGAACCAGGCGTAAAACTTGCCAACAACAATGTGCCAGTTAACAGAATTCACACACAAGTCAGCACAGCCCCAGGAAGCTCCATGAGGCAGGGCTGTGCCTACTGCTCTTCTCTCTGAGAGCTACAGAGCTTATGAGCAGGGAAATCCAAAACTCCCTCATCCCAATCCTGTGCTACTTGTACTTGGACAGTAAGACAGTGTTTCCTGGATGCCAGCCATACCCATGTCCCTTACCTCAGCAACCCATGACCATGGTGCCATAGCAGTGTACACAGGTGCCACATGGAGTGGACATATAGCCCAGAGCAGAGAACAGTGAGCCCATGGGACATTTCAGGCCCCAGCATCTCGTCACAGTGCGAGTGCAGGTGCAGGTACAGCTGAGATGAGGCCCAGCTCCAGGGCGGTGGTGCAGAGTTACACCATTGCTCTCTGGACCACCAGCCAGGCTTGAAGGGAGCCACAGGGAAGATTTTCCTACAGAAAGAGAAATAATTTTTAACCACATTAAAATTAGACTTTATACATTAAAAATGCCATGTTAAGTCCAATTTCCTGAATATTGAAAAGGACTTAATAAGAAAAAAGGTGATAGAAACATAAAATTAGAGAAGAACACAGAGGCAGTGCAGGAAAGATAAAGCAGCCATACCTTCATGAGGCCGTGTTCTGTGTGACCATTCGTTTCAGAGCCACGTGTTACAGTAGATCCTGTTTAGAAGACAGACTGCTAGCCTCCCCACATGTTCCTGCAGCTGGGGACAAGTGCCATTTGGTAGTTTTGTAGGGTAAACAGTGTCAAATTTCAGTGTTTTGGCCACTTAGCTCACTTTAATCATTTAAAACTCAGGGATATTTAAAAAAAAATTCAATGGAACTACCCAATAAAATGGAAACCCACCGATACTTCTATGAATAAATGGAGTGTGGGAACATCTGAAGATTGAAAGACTGGAAAACATTTTAAATTAAGCACACGTGGCCTCACCTGTGATGGTGTCTGAGCTGCGTAATGAAGAGGGTCCGTCCTGAGGTTCTGACGCATCCCAGCACACAAGTGTGAAGACCGTTGAGAGATGCAGCTGTAGCACGTGGTGGCTATTTCCAGAAGACTAAAGATAGAGGAAGAATTTTATTCTGCACACCATCAACACACTTACAAAAACATTAATTATGCATTGTGATATTCCCACCCAAATATCTACTTGTGTGCACATCTAAGAAAATAAGATTATGTTGTTGTTCAGTCACCGTAATGCTGAACTGGGAATCCACAGTGTGGTCTGAGTCCCCTTTGCAAGAATGTGTCCCTCCCCAGACCCACATGTGCTCTGTCTGGTTCTGTCCCGTTTCAGTGACCCAGTGAGCCATCATTTCACTTTTTAACTTTGCACCTACTTAGTATGATTTGGTACCTATTTATAAAATAGTCCTGAACACTAAACACTTTAAATCCTAAATAACCTTTTTTAAAAATTAAGTGTACTTTTAAAAGACATAATTTCTATTATAAATGCAAATGAAATGAGTATTACTACCTGTATATAAGGTAACTGTAAAACAAAAAATTAGTTGCGAATTCTGTTAGATGATGTTGTGAAGCCCATGGAGGGTGTGGGCACAGAGCAGGGTTAGACTCCTCATGTGGCTAGTGAGACCATTCACAGGGCAGATTGAGGCCAGGGTGCGGTCACATGGTCTGTGTGATGGTGCTGTGGGCCATGCACAGGGACAGGCCATCCTGCGGCCAGAGCTTGGCGAGGGTCCCTCACCCCTTCTTCCCAGGGGGTATTGCAGCAGGGTGAGTGAGCAGTGAGGGCCTGCGCTTAGTCCTCTTGCTTGGGCACCATAGTGGGTGGACCATGGTCTTGCCTTCACTTCCCTCACCTGCTGTGCTTTCCACGCAGACATGTCTCCTGATGCGGCAGCAGCATGAGGCTGCGGCCCTCAATGCTGTGCAGAGGATGGAGTGGCAGCTAAAGGTCCAGGAGCTGGACCCCGCTGGACACAAGTCCCTGTGTGTGAATGAGGTGCCCTCTTTCTACGTGCCCATGGTAGATGTCAATGATGACTTTGTGCTTCTGCCAGCCTGATGCACACAGGACAGCTGCACAGGACACAAGCAAGGGCCACATGGGTCAGCCCAGCGCTGCTGCTGAGTCCAGACAGCGGAAGGAGACCTTGTCCCTCAAGTAGGAACAACCAGGGAAAAACCTGCACTTTGCCCCCTGGAGAATGGCTCTTTTATACCAGCTGTCAAGGGAGGACAAGGAGACCTCGGGGACAGACATGGCAGCCTTGTGGTCTGTTTTCCAGCCAGCTGCACGGGCATTTCAGGAGCTGCAGAACGGATTGTGTTTTTTTAAAAGTTCTTGTTCCATTCTGATCAACTAAAGGAAATAAAATTACGGCATCCACTCCTCACAGACTGTGACCGTCAAGTCAGAGCAGGGGGAGTGCCGTCCTGGCTGCAGCCCTGTTGCCATGGAGCTGCTGACAGCCTGGGGCCTCAGACTGGGGCTGGGACACTGCGCCGCCCGCCTGACTGCCACAGAGGGACACAGAGCCAGGACTCTCCGGTTGTGTTTTTAATGGAGTCAAATCCACGTGGTTTGTATATTTTTTCCTTTAATCTTGGGCATTTTGTTTCTCTTTCTGAGAACATAACTTGAAACACTACAGAGCCAATAATCATATAAAAAGTGTACCCGTAAACGCTGTACAGTTTTATACACATTCACAATGTACTTTTGCTGCCTTCTAGATAATTTATTTTGCAACACATTACTGCACAGTTGTAAATAACTTATGTACTGTAACATCACTTCAGTTATGTGTAAAGAAATAAATAAATTAATTAAATGCTCTTTGTACATGACAGTCCCCTCCCTGGGAGGGGCCAGTGTGCAGGACTGTGAGATGAGGGGTCACTCCACTGGAAAACTCTATTGTCTTAAACTTTATTTCTCCCAAATGATTAGCTTTTAATTTTGAAACAAATTATACAGTTGACCCTTGAACAACGTAGTCAAAAATCTGAGTATAACTTTTGACTCCCTCAAAACTTAACTACTAATAGACTGCTATTGACCAGAAGCCTTATAGGTAACATAGTTGATTAACACATATTTTGTGTGCTATGTGTATTATATACTGTATTCTTACAATAAAGCTAGAGAAAAGAAAACTTATAAGAAAACCATAAGGAAAAGAAAATATATTCATAACATTTATTGGGGGAAATGCACATATAAGCGGACCCGTGCAGTTCAAACCCATGTTGTCAAGGGTCAAGTGTATTTCCCCTCCTTTCCTGCCTTACTGGGAACTGAAGTGCTATCCTCTGCTGCCCCAGGAGCTGCTCAGCTCACAGTAGGGAGGAGCTAGCTTGGGAGGCCTGGAGTCTGAGCCATCAGCTCCTGCAAAATGCCGAGGAGACTGAGGGCATGGGAACGTAGAGAGGAGCAGCCTTCGGCTGCCAGAAACAAAACAGGATGCCTGGGTCATCTCTCCTGAGGTACCTATTAGAAGTAGGAAGGAAACAGTCACTTGCTGTGGGAGCAGCAGCTTCTCTGGGCATTGCGGCCTTGAAGGGACCACTGTCCAGGCCTGGCCAGCTCTCACTTCCTAGTCCTACCCACTCCCTGTGTTGGGAGAGCTTCCACTTAGGGCTGATTCTGCACTGCTAACAGTTTCTCCAGGGATGCAGCAGTTTGTATGGGGTCCCCTCTTTAAGAACCCCGGTAGCAGAAAACCAGCTCTAGGAACAAGAGTTGGAGGTCTGAGCCCAGCACATCCCAGGAGAGACTGGGCCTTGCACAGAGCAGACAGGGCATTCACACCGTGTGGTCCTCTCCGAGGAGGACACCTGCAGGAATGGGTGAGAACCAGCATGATGGCTCCACGGTGTGCCAGACCTGTCTGTGGGTGCTCCCCAAAGTGGCATTTTCCCGTCAATCACCCTTACCCTGTCCTGTCTACAACTCCTAACATCTGGTTCACAGGGAGTTGGCTCCCCCAACACCTGGGGTGCTGCAGGAATGCGCAGTATGTGGAGGGACAGGTCCAAGCAGCAGGGTCTGGGCGGACATTTTCCTTGTTCATTTCGTCCTGGGATCCCTCACACTCTTCTCCATGCTTCCTGTACCTGGTTGGGCAGCAGGAGCTGCAGAAATGAGCCCACATGTCCAGCTCTGCTCATAGTGTTCCTCAGCGCAATTGCTGGTGCCACATCCACTGCAGAGCAGCCTGCCTGAACCTGTACCCCTGACTGGCCTGAGGTGGCCTGCCACCATTTCCTCCTCAGGTACAGGCAGGATTCCTGGGCCTGCCCCATGCTCTCCAGGGGGCAGGCCATGGGCAGGACTTTGGTTTCCCCAAAGCTCCTGGTATGACCTTACAAGGTCCATTCCCGGGATAATGGGTGGGGGCCACCCCTCTCTACTTCAGACCTTGTTCTCCCCTTCATGTGAATCCCCTTCAGGCTGGTCTTACCACCTGTGCATCTGGGAAGGGGCTACAGATATGCCAGCAGAGCTCCAGTGTATTTTCTGGGTAAAAATTACTTATTTTTCTAATCACAGAACTCAGATTATAATAACACTTCTTTTAAGCCCTGCTTCTTTTTTAAACAACATAAATTAACTTCAGCTCATTTCCATGTCAGCAGCTTAAGGCCCCACAGCATTGAAGTCCTGTGACTCTGAGCCCCCACGTGTGGGGCCACCAACACAGTGTGCACAGCATGGTGGGCATCAGTGAGGTGTTCTGTCCCCCAGAGGACATTTATAAATAAAGTCTAAAAACAATGGCTGTTTGTGTTTCTGCTCCCAGTGTTCATCTGTCAGGGCTTGAGGAGTCAATGCAAGTATTTTTAGAACACCTAGGAGTCTAGAATTGCGCCTGGTCTGGAGATACTGCTGATGGTCCCTGAGGTCCGTGACTGCAGGTATAGGTGTCAGGCTGCCCTCTCAGGAGCGTCTGACTTGAACTGGACGAAAGCAGTGCTTAGCCGCAGGTGCTGGGGTCTTAACATTAGCCACCTGGTGCCACCCTGACTGCAGCGAGGGGTCCTACCTCTGGCACAGATGGGTGCTGAATACCTCACTGATGAGAGGGTCCAGCACCCATAATTCAAGGCCTCTGCAGACACTACCTGATTCCTTGGCTTCCAGAGGCTTCAGAACCTTGTATTAACAAACTAGATAAATGCGTAGCCCCCAGGAGCTACGGGCCAACATGTTAGTTGAAACACAGGGTCTTATGTCAAAAAAGCAGCCCCCGGCTTAGATGTCAACAAAAGAAATGAAGAGTTTTTCCCACCCTAAAGAAGAGAATCTGATAGCAAAAGAAAACCCAAGTTAAAATTTTAGGACTAGAAAATGAAAAGTAAGCAAGGCAGAAAACTCACTGTTCAGACTTAATAGCACAATGCCAAGATACAGTGAACTTGGAGATCAACAGAAATTATTCAATCTGAATTACAAAATAAAAAATAGACTTCTTAAAATGAATAGATCCTCAGGTACCTGGGGGGGCTACAGATCTAACATTCATGCCATTGGAGTCCCACCAAGAGTACGAGAAAAAGGATGATGCTGGAAAAAATTGAGAAAATAAAAGACTGAAAAATGCCAAGGTGGGCAAAAAATATAAGCCTATATATTCAAAAAGCTAAGCAAACCTAAGAGGATAAACTCAAAAGAAATCAATACCTAAATAAATCATAAACTACTGGAAGCTAAAGAAATAGAAATGAACAATCTAAAAGGAATATTACAAAAATAATTTCACTAACAATAGCACCACGAAGATTAAAATATTTAGGAATTAGCCAAGGAGGTGAAAGATTAGTACACTGAAAACTACAAAACATAGCTGAAAAAAAGGAGACAATGAAAATACATCCCATGTTCATGGGTTGGGAGACCATCTTGTTAAGAGGTCAGTATGACACAAGCCAGTTTACAGATTCAATGCAATCCCTATTGAAATCCCAAGGACTTTTTTTTTTTTTTTTCAGAAAAAGAAAAACCTGTTGTAAAATTTACATAAAATCTGAAGGGACCTCAAAGAGCTAAAACAATTTTGAAAATGAAAAAAGAGGACTCAGTTCTGATTTTAAAACCTCAAGATATAGTAATTAATACATTCACAGCACTGCCATGAAGACTGACATTCAGATCAATGGACTAGAATAGAGATCCCAGGAATAAACCCTCACACACATGGACAAGTAATTTTTGACAAGGGGGCAATGACTGTTCAGTGGGGAAGACAGTCTTCAAGAAACAGTGCTGGGAAAACTGGATATCCATGTGCAAAAGGATGAACTGGACCCATAATTATTTGACACCATATATGAAAATCAGAGAAATAGCAACATGGAAAGGACTTTGATCTTGCTAGCTCTGAAGAGAGAGAACTGGAGAAGTGAGCCAAGGAATACAGGCAGCCTCTAAGAACAGGACACGGCAGAAAGCTGATCCTTTCCTAGATCCTCCAGAAAGGAATGCCACCCTAGTAACCTGGATTTTGTCCAGCAAAACCCATGTCAGACTTCTGATATCCAAAACAGAGTGATGCCAGAGAAATGGCAGCATGAGAAATCCCCTTGGTCTCTCCCCTTGAAGTTTCAACAACTTGAACAGCTATGACTCAGCAAAGGATTCCCTGTTCAACCTGCAAACACGCCTGAGAGATCTGTGCATGGAAACTTTTAAAGGTGGGCAAGAGGGAACAAACCGGGAGGCAAGAAGGGAGAAAGGCTGAGATGACCCACAGACATGGCCCTGCAGATCAGAGTTTACAGCAGGGCTCAGCCCAGAGAGGGGAGGAATCTAGTGGATGGTGCTCCCTTCAGCCAGGAATAGTAGGAAGATGTGGAAGGCATTCCCGTAGCAGTGAGCAGATATGGAAGGCATTCCTGTAGCAGTGAGCAGTACAAGCTGTGGCTAAGCCCAGACACCTAAGCAAGGACACAGCACAGAAGTGCAGCTGTGGCTGTTGGGCAGTCAGTGTTCCAGACACAGAAACAGCCATGGAGCCCTGCTGCCCTGTAGCCTCCCAGAACTCATCTCATTTCACCCTTGGTGTTGGGTTATGGGGCATATTATCTGCAAACCCAAGAACTGGTACTACAGAATCACATTTTTCCCTGAGCAAAGAATGCACTCTGTGACCAGTCCCAGGGTCAGGAAACTAGGGGGACCTCACAAGGTACAAGGTCACCATTACTGGGAGGGCAAAACAAAAGCTGTCCCCACCCCCATGCATTGCAGCTACACTGATGGCAGCATCACTGGGATTTCACAGAGCTAAAAACAAACAAAAAAACCTTGAGATTCAGCCCACCTAGTTGAAAGGAATAGAAAGACATCTTCCTATTAATCTGCTAGAGAAGTGCCACTCATACATAGATGCTAAAGCACAGAAGAAACCCATTAAATACGTGCATAACCAATATAGTGAGGCAGCTCAGGGGGGGAAAAAATGAATCTCCAGAAAATGTACTCAAAGACTTGGAAGTATGACATACAAATGACAAAGTCAAGATTGCAGTTCCGAAAATACTCAACAAGATGTGAGAAAATACAGACAGTTTAACACACTCAGAAAACAAATCAATGAACAAAATGAGTACCAAAAAGATCAAAACTTCAAAAAAACTAAACAGAAATTCTGGAGATGAAGAGTTCAATAAAAGAGATAAAAAATGAAGTATCAACTTCCGGCCAAGATGGAGGCGTAGGTAGACACACTGTGCCTCCTCACATAACCAAAGTAAGGACAACAAAAATTTAGAAACAAAAAACAACCAGTACTGACAGAAAATTGAACTGTATGGAAGTCTGCCAACCAAG